TAAGTGATTTAAAGCGCCCAGACTGGTTTCAGTGTATTATAATGTAGTACATTTATCAAACAATAGAGGGAATTTCCAGTAGAGCAGGTTATTCTCCCTTAGCCTAACAACAGAGGATTATGAAAAACAAAACATCATAGATAAAAATTGGCTATGAGGAAAGTTCTCTTACACATTTACATTAGGAATAAACTGGAAATGCATAAAAGTTACAAAATGGAGCCTAAGGGCAAGTAAGCAATTTTATTCCCTCCCCCACAAGTTAATTTTTCTGGGTTTATTCATTTATCATCTTCAATAGATATTTATGACCTATAACTCAAGGCATTTTTTAATTAAGAAGGCAAGTACCAAAGATTTTTAAATGTGTAGTTATAAATCCTGCTGCAATAAAACAAAATCCAAATGCAGAATATTGAGAACTGTCTCCTTGGTTAGTGCTTTGCAGATTTAAAAGATCATTATCTCTGGAAAAGAGAGAGATCGCTTTTTTCCTTTAGGTGGAACAAAGCAGTTGCCCTTGACCCTAGACAGGGATGGAGAATTTAGGGGACACTGGTATAGTTGTGTTCCTGGTTATCACGGGTACAAAAAGAGCTCTCTATTCTTGCTCATAACCAGGGGGAGGCAAGAGGCCTCAGAGAGTCACGTGGAGCCTGGGGAAGATGCTGTCAGAAAAGCTGCATCTCAGGGCAACCAGAATTAATCTTACCGTTCCCTTGACCAGATCACTATACGAGGCTGGTCAGAGCAGCTATCATGAAGAGTATTCATGCATTTGCTAAAAAAGTAGCCTCTGTGCTGTCCAAGCACCTTGTTTTTTGTTTGTCCTTTTTTTCCTTGTGTAGGGAATTGAATTGGACTAATAGGAAAAATTATTTCTATTAGAAATCTACATATTCATGTCAAAGGTTTTCTCTAAAAGTCCGAATGTCTGAAAAATATTTGCAAAAATTGTAATCACTGTTTAGCTCCTTAAGTTTGGTAAATCAACAGATGGATGTTAATTTGCATTTATGTTCAAGATTAGATGGATTTGGGAGTCCTACTTCCATCCCTGCTGCCATTTGGAAATGACAATATCATGCTTACTGCCTTTAATTCTAGTTATTGTTATATTTTGTGTCTCATGATTTCCGGGAAAAGCTAGTGTCTCTCCCCATGAACCAGCTATTGGTTACAGAGCTTGGTTTCATAATTTCATAATCACAGCACTGTCCATAGTAAATTATGGGAAATTACAGAGAACTAATCAATGTAAGGCATATGAAACCTATATTAGCCTAATAATAATTTAAAATTATTAGGCCCATAAAAACTAATTTTAAAATAATCAAGGAGAACTGTGTAAAATGACTGAAATCCCATTTTAATTAGCAATTTTGTTAATTTTCCTGATTATAAAAAGTTGGAGAATTTCCATACTTTATTTTATTTAAAAAATGAAAATGTTAGTTAAGTGAGTTTGTTGGGTTTTTTCTTAAGATTTTATTTATTTATTCGAGAGAGAGAGAGAGTGAGAGCATGCAAGTGGGAAGAGGAGCAGAGGGAGAGAGAGAATCTCAAGCAGATTCCACGCTAAGCGTGGAGCCTGATGCAGGGCTCGATCTCACGACCCTGAGATCATGACCCTGAGAAATCAAGAGTCAGACGCTTGACCAACTGAGCTACGCAGATACTCCTAAGTGAGTTTTTAGATCATTCTAGACCAGGCCCAGAGCACTTCCTGGAAGATGGTAGGCAGTCAAATATATTTAACTGTTGGATGAGGTGAGGGGTTAAAAGAGCAAAATACAACCTTTCCAATAGCTTATAAAAGGAAGAAAAAAGAATTAATAGACATGTTTTTCTTAAGGGAAACCTATTGAAAATATGATTTTATACCTTTTAATCAAACACACTGAAATTTAATTGATGCTGCTAGAATAACAAGAGTTCATTTTTACATGTTGCAAATTTAGAATTTGAGATTATTTAAACAAGAGTTAAGATGAAGTTTACTTTTACTGTATGTTTAAAAAAAAAAGTTTCCTAAGAAAGTGAACAAAGTAAACAAGCTTGCTGAGATGTTCTATGTATGAGAGATGGTAAATCATTTTCAAGCAAGTTCCTCCCCATCCCCTTGCCACATCTGTTGAGAGCTCAGTCTGTAGGTGTGTTAGTTTTCTACTGCAGTTCTCTAACAAATTAGTATCAACTTAGTGGCTTAAAACAAGACCAATTTCTCTTACAATTCTGTTAGAAGCCTGACATGAATCTCACTGGGTTAATATCAAGGTGTCCATGGGGCTGCATTCCTTTCTGAGGCTCTGAAGGAGAATCGGAGACTTTTATTTCCTTACCTTTTTCAGTTTCTAGAAGCCATCTCCATTCCTTAACTCAATTCATGGCTCCCTTCCTCTATGTTCAAAACCGGCAACATTGTATCTCCCTGACTCCCTCTTTCTTACCACTGCTGGATAAAATTCTCAGGTTTTAAGGATTTATGTGATTACATGGAGTCCACCCAGGTAATCCAGGAAAATCTCCCCATCACAAGACCCTTACCGTGAGTCATATCTGCAAAGTCCTTTTTGTCGCATGTGATAACGTATTCACAGGTTCTAGGAACTGAGATGTGGATCTCTTTGGCGGCCATCTGTGTACACAGGGAGAGGTAGCGTTTAGTTCACAGGACTATGAGCCAGCATCAGAAGATACTGATGGAGATTGACTTATTTTTAAAAATTGGTGTATAATAATTCATATTTATTAATGAAGGCAATTATCATCAACTTCTTTTAAATAAAACTTTCACTAATTGTTTGAAATGTTTTTATGTACATACAGTTTTTAAAATAATATAATGATTGTTTAATGGTAAGTTATTGTTTAATAGTAATAATTCCATTGCCTTCCACAAGTTTATGTATTTCACATAACTTAATTATATAACAATATAGCTTTATATATATGAACTATCTTATATTCTGTTTTCACCCAATTCTTAGATATACTTCTATCCAAATAGGCCATATTTTAGTAAGTTTTACTCCTGATGTTAGAGATTTATGTGTTTACACTTTCTTACTAATGTAGATAATGCTTCACTGAACATTGACTTATTTAAACAGCTGTTTTTGCTTTTATTGAATAAGGAAAAAATTCCTTTTGAAAGAAATTTGTAGGGTAAGAATATATGACTATCTTCAGGTTGTCTACACATTCCCCTCTTCTTATTTGTTTATAGAACCATAATTTTGTTCAGGTATTGACTATATAAGAAGCAAGTGCCATTGTTGGGATTATGGGTTTGTGGTCCAGGGTGTTTTGGATGTTCAGGGATGTTGACTTCAATTTGAGATATATGACCTAAGGACAAACATCCAAATAAGTGTGGGCCTCAAGAGAGACCTTGGGTTCAACGAAAATGTACTGTGAGCAACAAATGCAAGCCCCATTTATAATTTTAAATTTTCCAGTAGTGACATTTTTTAAAAAGTTAAAAAAAAAAGAGGAAGCAATGCTGATTTTAATAGTATATTTTATTTGATACAATATATCAAAAATCTTAATATTTCATTATATAGTCATTATATATTCCAACATCTCAATTTGTTCTGGCCACATTTCAAGTGCTTCATAGTCGTGCACAATTAGAAAGATGAATTTAGGAGCCAGTTATAAGTCAGCATCTTTCTTTGCTTGTAAATGTGAACCTGTGTTTGGCTTGTTTCCGGGGATTTTTTTTTTTTTTTTTTTTTTTTTTTTTTTGCTGTTGTGAGTAACACTGTAATGAACAGTCATATATAGAACTCCTGGCGCAGGCCTTGAGGATGGCATATTCCCAGGCTTAGGATGGCTGGCAGGTAGTAGGTGAAATGATGCTCACTTTATTCTCCAAGGTGGTTGCTCCAGTCTACATGCCAGCTAGTGGTGTGGAAAGAGTCCTTATTGCTCCTCCCCCACATGAACATTTGGAAAAGTCTCATTTATTCATTTTGTCAAGCTAGTGGGTGTAAAATTTTTTCTCATTTCCTCATAATTTGCATTTTTCTGATTCTTAATGAGCTTGAAGACCTTTTCAGAAGTATATGAACCTTCATTTTTTCCTCTTCTATAGATTTCTATAGAAATCACAAATATTTATTCATTCAAATATAAATATACTTAGATATATGTCATATATTCATATATGTGTCACATTATATATTTATTCACAAATATTTTTTGAGTGGTGTCTATTAAGTATTGGTCTAGGTATTGGGAATATACTCATGGGAGGAAAAATAGTCCCAAATCTTGCCTTCCAGGAGTTTATATTCTAGTGTGTGTATATGGTGAAGAGGGAGAGACAAAAACAATTAAAAAAGTGAAGCAGCATATGTCAAGTGTTGTTAGCAAACCTCGGTTTAAGTCCGGCTCAGCCATTTTATGTCAAGGCTTAACTTGGCTTCTGCAATTGTAAAAAGGAGATGGTAATAATACTATCTTCATTGTTTATTCAGTGCATATGAAGAACTTGACACAGCTCTGGCAAATTGTAAGGACTCAGAAAATGTTAGTAATAAGTATCATTTCCCCCTTTTTTGCTTCTCCTTTTTCTCTGTAATTTCTTCTCAGAACTTCTGAAGTTTAAGATTAAATATGTTTTGGTTTGTTGAGGTGTTGGCTTTCATCAGGGTGTCAGCCTATTGGTACTTTCTGTGACACGACAGATGACCTTAGCTAATTTTGAGATGTGTTTTTGAGATTTCAAGAGTCTTAAATCCCAAGAACCAAGAGCCTGAGAACGTGTACTTTTTAAAAAGCTACATCATGTCAAATGCCAAAAATGTGGGAAAATCTATAGGAATGCCTTGTATTCATTCATGGCTGTGTCCTGTGAATGTAAATTTTGCCTGAATTAATCATTTCAATCTAACAACCAATTTACTGTAAACCATGCGCAAAGTACTGTATAGAGGAGATGCATGTGACCTTGTTAATTTTTGGAACAATTATTTGTCCTTCTTTCTTAGATCATGATGTTGAAAATGATCTTCAATCAGACATCAGTTGAGCACTGCAAGACTCACACTGAAAAGCTGAAAGAATGCAACTTCTTCTTAATAGCTGTTCGCCTGGCTTCACTGAACCAGATCTTGGATCCCTGGGTTTATCTGCTGCTAAGAAAGATCCTTCTTCGAAAGTTTTGTCAGGTAGCAAATGCTGTCTCCAGCTGCTCTAATGATGGACAGAAAGGGCAGCCTATCTCATTATCCAATGAAATAATACAGACAGGAGCATGAAAGAGAACACCTAATCAACTTGCATGTTCACAGCTTTTGGTAACAAGTAGCCATAAACCTTACTGTGAATTTAGGCATCTCTGGCATGACACTGTTTATGCATTGAAGGAGAATTTTGATATAAGGCTAAATGGTCTCAGTGGCATAGATAATCCCCCGTGTGCCAAAAGTATTGAAACACAAACAAAGGAAAATATATTATTAACAGTCTAGTGTTTTTGGGTCTCTGCCATTTGTAGCTGAATATGTGATTATTTATGAGATGAAAACATTTTTTTTATAAATGATCTTGGTCTGTGGTGGGGATGGAGTGGGGAAAGTTAATATTCCAGTATACCGAGTACACGGGGGATTGAATCCATAGATCATCAGAGATAGACAAAAATTTGTTTTTGTTCAAAGACCTTGGTCTTCTGTATTCTCTTTCTTTCTTTCTTTCTTTCCATGTCACTCTTTTCCCCTTATATTTTTTAAAAAGTTGCATTAGGATAAAAAAAATATAATGTATCCATACTGTTCAGTGGTATTGATGTAAATATTGCTCAATACATAAATTATCTGTTGAACTTATAAAGTTCAAGTTTTGGGTGTGTCTGTAATTAGATTTACTCATTATCTAAATAAGAGCCAAATGCATTTATTTGAAATATGACAGGATTTGTGACTATCCAAATTACTATATGTTATTCTTTTTGAATACATTTTTAATTCCTAAAAGCCGGTTAAGATTCATGAATCTGATCTTGAGAGTCAGTAGAGTGATTTTTCAAAATACTATTTAAGAACTGATTTGAGAACTAAATATAGGTACTGTGGTTAATTATCTTCCCTGATCGTTCCACCAAAAGTATTCTCTAGTCTTTTGGATATTTAAATGTTAACTCTGATTTCAAGACCAATAAGTATTTTGAAAGTTCCATAAAGACTTTGCATAGTTTGGCCTATTTATAGAATAAGAAAATTAATACTATTGAACCCTCATAACACTTTCTCTGTTCTCCCTTCAAAGTAGCTCTATATCTAAATATTTATTATTAATTTGCTTTTCTTATACTCTACATGTGTACAAACCTTGATAGCTAAGCTTGATATCTTTTTGGCACAAGTAGATTATTACACTAAGTTTTGAGAGTTGCACTTAAAAAAAAAGAAAACCTCCCAACAAACATAGCAATCTTTTAAGTGAGACCTACACAAAATGCTCTTTGTATCCTTTGGAGCATTCATTTTGCAAACTCAATAACATTTCTCATGAAGATTTTAATTTACAGCTTACCTTTTGCATTCCTAGTTGTAAAAAATTTGAGATTTCTTTTATATTTCTTTATAGTGACTACTTTTTCCCCCTGTGTTTAGTAGGCATTTGAGGAATAATTGATTTTAGTAAGTACAATCTATCTATTAGATTAATATATAAGCCATCCTAGGTCAGCCAGGAATAATCAATGTTTGTTATTATTATTATTATGAATAACCATGTCACACTGAGTGGATAAACAAGATTTGCTAAGAGTGCTTATGTAATTCATGATGGTTCCGCTAGCCTACATTTTAGAAAAAATGATATATAGCATAATACTAAAACCCCGATACAAAATCTCTCTATGCTATAGAATTGGATTATCCCACAGGTCACCTCATGAAGAATTAGACAAAGCTACCTCCTTTTTCCAGAAGAAAAGAAAAAAGTGCACTTAGAATAAGTACTGACCTTACAACAAAGAGGCTTTACCTCTTGAATGTTCCTCTGGTCCCAGGTCATAATCAGATAGATGCACACACAGTATGGATTTAATGGTATGAGTGTGATTGGGTTATCCTTCCCAGGACCTAGCACAACACTTGAAATGTAGGAAGAGTTCAGTATTTATTCAATGAATGAATGAATGAATGAATGGCTGCCAAAACCAAGTGTGCATCGGTGAGGTGCCTGCCATATGATTGAAGGGCTACCTGCCCTTATAGTCCATCAAACTGATAAGGTGAATGCTCACTGCTTATTTAATTACGGAAATATGAATTTCTCTTCAAATGTGTAGTAACATATTGCTGTACAACAAAGTGCTTTATCTGTATTAATAATTTAAGAGACTGATACTTCCAAATGGTAATGGAGATTACTGTCAAAGAAATACCACTTTTCATCCAAGCACAGAAATACAGAAAGACAAAACAGCCTGAAACTTATCCTTAAGTACAAAATAAATTTCTGCCCAGGGATACATGGCAGGAGTGGATACATGGCAGTTTTTCAACAAGGTTGAAAGGGAAGTGGAGAAGGAAAAATGACGTAAATGGCATGTGTTTTTTTACCCAGGCAGCCATTGGTTCATCCAGGGAAAAACCTGGTAAGAAATATAAGTCCCAAATGATTTCAGCATTTGGATGATCGTTGAAGTTGGATTTCAGAGATGTTGTGCAGAGGCCCTGGATGTGGTCAGGAAGTGGACACTGAAGTCACTGCAGAAGAATCTGTGTTTCCAAGTTTAAGCATATTGGCCTTTAAATTCATTCTCATATACTTTATCTACATATATGTCTGAGCAGGAAAAGAAGATGTGCACATAAATTCTTAACCTGACAGTATTGGTTAAAAAAAATAGAGGCCTAGGAAACCACATGGGAAGAAGTGAGTGAGTACAATGTAGAAATTAAGGTACAATCAGCTATTGTAGATTGTACATAGCAGTGCTGATTTTCTAAATGATGAATTTATGCAGCTAAGCTGTGTCATAGAAGAGAAGGATGATGTGCTCTCCGGTAAGAATATTTTACTTTTCAAATAAAATCAGTGCAGCAGCTATCTCAAAACTATTTTAAATGGAAGAAACAAAATATGTTATCTTAAGTTTTACCAAAATTTGCCTAATGCTGTATACCAAGATATTTAACAACTATTAGATGTGTTTAATCATGGCAGATTTAAATGACTATGAATCAAAAAGTGCACATCTATTTCTACTTAACACTTCTTATCATATAAAAGATCTCTTGACTGTGTTATAGAATAAAATTGTGGAAGCTCGTGTAAAAGTTAACTGCAAGAGACCCTGGCACCAGGGCTGGCATTGAGTAATGGACCAACTAGAAACTCTGAAGACAAAACAGTATTTTTCAAAGGTGGTCAGTCTGTGGCAATATTCTAATAATAGATTTTCAAGTGAATTAGATCTTTTATTCATTGATACTTCTTATATATCTGTTGGTGTTGAGTACTAATTTGTGACTAGTTTTAATCTTCCCGTGTCAACAATCACTTAATGGTTCTTTTGTATTGGGATTAAATCAGAGACAGAAAGTAGAAAAATTTTTATGATTGAAATTTTAAGCACATATATTTCTGCTTGTTTTTTAATACTTGAACCCCAAAATCTTCTCTCGAAATAAACGGCATAACGGAAGATGAGGGACACCTTAAGACTGCAGAGTATTTATTCCTATGAGCATACTAAAAGCCTAATGTGGACAAATTAAAATTTCTATGATTTACCCATGTGGAAAGTTAGACCATCACCCATGCCAAATCTTCAGAGATGTTGTTTATTGCTGGTTCTGTGCTTGCATATGTCTCAAAATCTGCTAGAATTTAGGTTTAAATAAATGTGCAGAATTGTGCACATAATTGAAATTCTATCATTTTAAAAGTGAAGACTATTTAATACTGTGGCTACATCCAGAGGACTGCTATCTGAGTTGCAATAAAATTCTGATAAGAGGTGGCATACATCTGTGATGTTTCCTAACCTAGGTTTTGATAGAGCCCATTCACAAAATTTGAAAATCAACCTAAAATTCACATGCACATTTGTTAAAGAGCTGTATCAGTTCAGTATTCCGAGACAATGAACTGGTGGTGATTACATATGAAGCATGAAACAGAGAATTAGGGAAAGTGTTAAAATTAAAACTCCATTATGTTGGCATCATTTATATAGATACTGATTTCATAAGAAAGTTCATATTCAGCTGACTTACTCCCACCCAAAAGGTTTCAATTTTATTAGAAATTTGTATCTATAGTTATCAAGGAAAATCTTTTACATGTCTTCTTCCTTGAATGCCTTTTTTGGATTGAGTCCACCTCGAATAAAACTGAAGTAAAAAGGATAGTGCAGAGTGACCTTGTTCTTAAAGTGACAAAGGGAAAACTGAGATTGTGCCTCTCTCAGAAAGACTTTAACAAGTCGTCTAGAATTAATGAATTTTTTTTTAACGAGGAGATTGACAATTCATGTTAAAGTCAGATGGAAAGATATCTTCAAAGCATGCTACTTAACATTTTCTTTCTCACTTGTCCCTGTTCTCTACTCTTTTAAAGAACAAAAGAGCAAAGAATTTTTATTTTATATGTTCTCTATTTTATAATTCCAAAAAGAGGACTTTATTTAAAGGTTTATAATTTATACAAGTTGAATTGTAAACCATTACATGATGATACCATAAACTGAGTACATTTTGATTCTCTGGAAAAACAATTCATTCAGATATATACCATATTCATTTATATATCACTCATTTTCTTTATTGAGAATCAGAATTCTTTCATTTTCAGAAGTTTTAAATCAATCAGTTTAATATTATCAACAACCTAAATATTTACTGGATTACATATTTCTTCATTAGGAATGAGACTGTGACCCCAAGCCCCTTGCCTCCAACCTGTTTATTCATTTTCTCAACAGAGAGAAAGTAACAGAAATATTTACTGTTGGTGAAACTGGGATTAGAGAACAGCTTCGTATTTCTAGCATGCTTATGCCTTAATATATGAAACAGAACCGAGTCTGTTTTTTTAGTAAGTCTGTTTTGATGGAACAGTTTTATTATGGGAGTAAAGATAGGAAGGAAAGAGATCATCATGAGGAACAAAATCAGACTTTTCAAGCTTTTTGAGCATTTTGGAGATGATT